TTTTGCCCTATTAAATCGCAGTTAGCATAGAACCGGGCGTGTAAGAAACGTAAATGTTGAGCTTCTCACGCCAATGAGCTGTGCCACAAAGAAAAAGCTCAGACAGGGTTCCGAATTTGCCCGATTACCTGTCCCTGCATCCTTTTGGAAGAATGCTGTGAAAAGAGCATCAACAACAGCATCACCAGCACGAACCTGCAGGCAAAAAGCAGAGCAGCAAGTCGTCCAAAAAAGCAGTGACCAGCAGCCCCAGGTTCTGCCCGTCTTGCCCTGCGTGCCACAGCAATTTTCCCCTTCAAAGGACGAAGCACTGGGCAAGCTGGGTGGTCCGACCCACAGAATGGTGGGCACCAGAAAATGCCTCCGGCCTGAATTGACCAACGAGAGCTGGTGCTTGGCGGTTTGGAGCCGTTGCCCGGACAAGCCCGAGGTTTCCTGCGCTCGCTGACCACTTGTTCTTCCCGCACCGACGCACTTTTCCTCTCACCTCCTCTTTTTCTCTCACTCCAGCAGTCCGCCTGTGAACTCTCCCTCCTCCAGCTTTTTTCTCAGCCTTTCCCGACTCGTCCACCTAGTATCTCTTCGAGAGTATACCCAACCATAGACAAAATGGCCTCCACTCGTGTCCTCGCCTCTCGCCTGGCCTCCCAGATGGCTGCTTCCGCCAAGGTTGCCCGCCCTGCTGTCCGCGTTGCTCAGGTCAGCAAGCGCACCATCCAGACTGGTAAGCGGTGATTCGGAATCTTGCGAGCGACCCTTCCCATCACATCACGACCGAGAACCAGCGATGGGAAAATTTTTCCCTCTGTCGCTGCTGCCCCGACGATCATCCATCAGAATCGCAGCGGGATATATCGTGACGCGGGAATTGTTGAGATTATGGGCAAAAACCAGAGTCTGACATGTTCCTCCAGGCTCCCCCCTCCAGACCCTCAAGCGCACCCAGATGAGCTCCATCGTCAACGCCACCACCCGCTCTGCTTTCCAGAAGCGCGCCTACTCTTCCGAGATCGCCCAGGCCATGGTTGAGGTCTCCAAGAACCTTGGTATGGGTGCCGCTGCCATCGGTCTTACCGGTGCCGGTATTGGTATCGGTCTCGTCTTCGCTGCCCTCCTCAACGGTGTTGCCCGCAACCCCGCCCTCCGTGGCCAGCTCTTCTCCTACGCCATTCTTGGTTTCGCTTTCGTCGAGGCCATCGGTCTTTTCGATCTCATGGTTGCCCTCATGGCCAAGTTCGTAAGTAACCTAAATGCCGCATCCGCCGCAGCATCCCCATGGATGCCCAACTGCACCCCGCGCTTGGACGGCTCTGACGTAACGTGACCTCTAGACTTAAATGCATCCAACCTTGGACGGGAAACACGGCGAATCCTAGCTGGAGCCATCGCCTGTACATATGGAGAGAGCGGACGAGCCGGCTTGTACGAAAAGGTTCATGGTCATATGCGGCATTATCCACACCGCATATCCATTTGTGAGATGGGGTGAGGGAGTGCATTCGATTCGGCATAGAATTGCAGCATAGACGGAGGAAAGGGCATATAGACCTAGACCGTGGAGTGACGAGCTTTGGCGATCTCTCCGTCTCGTCGGTACTGCCGGCGAACCTGTAAAATAGCCCGGGGCACTTTCACATCGCTCTTAAGGGACATTCCATCCACAAAAAGAAACTCTTCCATTGTCGACCAAGACGCGTTCTCCTGCATCTCTGAAACGTGAAATTGTGAAACCGAGATGCATGACATGTTTACAGTTTCCAACATTGCGTCTTGAACTTGCGGCAGCGGCAGTCCTGCGGCATTCCCGCAGTAGGCGCCAGAAACGCTTTATTTTGACGCCCGTTTCGGTATCAATCTCGAAATTCCGGCCCGAACCAGCGGGAACCAAGAGCTCGATAACGAACAACAGCCGGGACTCGGACTGCCGGAGTGGAATCCACAAGAGTACGGACAGACGGGACTCGGTGATGGATGACCACGGCGGCGCCTGGGCCTTTTCGCGGACGGCGGGGAGGGCGGAGACGGCCCATTCCAAGCTCCAGAACACGGAGGTGAGCAACTTTCTTTTTCGGTCGGGCGGGGCTGGGCTGGGCCTTCACACACAACAACCCCTCCGCTGGGGAGTCCGCACACCATCGACGGACGGCGGACGAATCCGAGCTCGAGCTGCCAAGTTTCCCATCCATGTTGGTCACGATCGGGGATGTCTCCACTCCAACACTCCAGACTTGGGACGGAGCGGACGAGAGGTCCAGAGGCGGTCCGCGCTTTTGCTGCCTTTTCGTTTCCTTCATCCGCTGCCCGCGCGCGACTGCGACCGACGTGCTTTGCTGCCGTGCCCGTAGCTCTCACTAGCTTCGAGGCCAGGGTTGGTGATGTGGGTGTGTGTGGTTGAGCGAGTTGAGTACCCACATTATTGATGGCCCACTTTCGCCTTTCGTGGACTAGTGGAGTCATTTGGCGCTGGCGATGTGACGTCCGACGATGTGTTGTTGGTGTTTTATTCGGGATTTGTTGTTGATGAAATGATTTGTTCGTGGTCCCCGGATCTGATGCTCTGACATGATGTTCAAGGCGAAATGAATGTGATAAATGCAATGAAAAAATAAGGGGCACTTTCGAAAGAGTTTGAATTCAAAGTGATGATTATAGATAAACAATGATACAAAAGCAGAGCAAGTTTGCATGAGAGAACTGGAAGAAAGTTGACATGGAGTGGAAGTCCAGTTCGCGGGGGATGTAAAGTTCAAAAGGCAAAGTTTCCTCTTTCCACATGAAGCAGCTTCGGCCAGACGTTGTAATTAAGTTTGGCAACTGCCATGCTCGGGTTGCTATGCGCTTGCCTTTAAGCCCCTCCTAACATCGTCCGATACACAATCAAGGCGGTTGCGCATGCGTCAAGCTGTAACGCTCTTTCTGATTTCAGGAGACCGGTCAAGCAAGAACGGACATTGAGCCGTCCCGTTCCTTCCTCTCTGTGGTGTAGCAGAACATCAACTCGACACCACAAATTGGTTACCCCGCTCGAACAGGTGTTACACAACAGCACTTGCGAATGGAACGATCCAAGCGGCCAGCCGGTTCAGAGGGTTGTGCATATATTGACCATTTCGATCTTATATGGCGCTCGGACACGCCAACATATTGGTCGAGGAGAGATCGAGAGTGGCAAAGCACTGGGCGTTGATGGTGTGAACGACCGAAAGGGGTTTTTGCTGCAAAATCAAGAGAGTCCGAAGACAACCTACTAGTACTCTACCTACCCAGCCAAAATAGAACGCCCTGCGACAATTTGTCGACACCGACTTCGACATCTTTGTAAGAACTGGGAAAAGTACCGAATCGCAACAGCAAAGCAGAGGCCGAACAAGACAGAGTAGGTGCTTTCAAAGGGCAACTTTCAAGCCCGAACCACAATATCGCTATCATTCCCGTCTATGATCTATGTTACTTGTTTCATCACGCCATCCAATTATTACAATAAGTACTTTAAGCCTTGACAAGAAGGTTCTGGCCAGTCATCTCCTCGGGCTGAGGGAGACCCATAGCCGCAAGGACAGTAGGAGCGACATCACCAAGGACACCGCCCTCCTTCTTGAGGCTCCAGCCCTCGGGGGCGTTGGCCATGATAAAGGGAACCTTGTTGGTGGTGTGGGAGGTCTTGGGCTTGCCGTCAGGGAACTTCATCTCCTCAGCGTTACCGTGGTCGGCGGTAATGAAGAGGATGTAACCCTCCTTCTTGCAGCCCTCGAGGATCTTGCCAATGGCCTTGTCGGTAGCAGCGCAACCAACAATGGCAGCCTCGTAGACACCAGTGTGGCCAACCATGTCGGGAGGAGCAAAGTTGTTCATGACGAAGGGGAACTCCTGCTCGCCGAGACGCTTGACGACCTGGTTGGCGACGCCATCGGCGCTCATCTCAGGAGCCTTGTCGTAAGTGGCGACGCTCTTGTTGGAGGGAACGAGATCCTGGGTCTCATCACGAACTTCGAGAGGGAAGACCTTCTCAACACCACCGTTGAAAAAGAAAGTGACGTGGGCGTACTTTTCAGTCTCGGCAATGTGGACCTGCTTGACACCCTGCTTGCCGAGCCACTCAGCGAGAACGTTACCCATGTGCTGGGGCTTGAAGGCAATCTCGAAGGGATAGTCAAGCTTGTACTGGGTCATGGTGACGAGCTTGATGTTGGGGAAGGGGAAGTCGGGCAGGGGCGAGCGGTCGACATCACCCATGAGCTGAGTGATCTGGCGGACACGATCGGAGCGGTAGTTGAAGAAGAAGACGGTATCGTCCTCCTTGATGCGGCGCTCATCGCCACCGATGATGATGGGCTTGAGGAACTCGTCGTTCTCGCCCTTCTCGTAGCGCTCCTTGATCGTCTTGACAGGGTCGGTGCTCTCCTCACCCTCGCCGAGGTACAGACCTTTGAGGGCAACCTCGACACGCTCCCATCTCTTATCGCGATCCATGGCATAGTAACGGCCGACAACGGTGGCAAGCTCACCAATGCCAATCTCCTTGATGGTGTCAAGGAGCTCCTGCATGTAACCAGCGCCGGACTTGGGGTCGGTGTCGCGGCCATCGCCGAAGAAGTGAATGTAGATCTTGGGGACGCCAGCCTCCTTGGCAGCCCTGAGGAGAGCATAGAGATGTGTCTGCTTGGCGTGCTATGGGAAGAAGGCTGTTAGTAATCACACACATCACCGACGTTTTTCGAGTGATCACTTACAACACCGCCGTGGGAGATGAGACCGCAGAGATGGAGACGGCCGTTGCCGTTCTTTGCCCTCTCAAAGGTAGACTTGATGACGTCGTTCTGACCAAGCTCTCCCTTCTTGATAGTCTGATCGATACGGACAACGTCTTGCCAGACGACACGGCCGGCGCCAATGTTGAGATGGCCGACTTCGGAGTTGCCCATGAGACCCTCGGGGAGACCAACGGCGAGAGAAGAAGCGTCGAGCTCAGTGAAACCGGTGGCGCTCTTGGAGAGCTCATCCATCACAGGCGTTTCGGCGGCGGCAATGGCATCGCCGTTCTTGGGGGACTCTTCGGAGGGAATACCCCAACCGTCAATCACGACTATAGGAGGATCGGATGAGCATCATGATCAACCAGGCCACTTCCAGGTAAACTAGCATGTAACACGCGACCAGCGCGTAATCAGGACGGCGGGCGGAGGACGTACTCAAGCAGGCCTTGTGGTCGGGAGCCATTGTGTTGTTTATTTACTGGGGCTATGTAGGTGTATGTATAGGTTGTCGAGAGAAAGAAGCTATCGACAGGATCTGCGGGCGCAACAGTTGTTAGGAACGGCAAACAGATGTGGTCAACGATAAGGATGGGATGGAGGACTGATAACCTGGAACTAACCTTTCTACAATTTACGGAATGGAAAGAGGAAAACAGGATCAGATCACTTCGTTTGGGATGTTGAGAGATTTTGATGGTGGGGTTACAAGAGAGACTTCAGCATAGAATCAATTGGTACCTATCACTCCGTCTGCTCGGTGCTACTTACCGTGCCTTGGACTGCAAAGCCGAACATTTCGGTTGACTTGTCTGGGCTGGATGTGTTTCCCGATTGCCCGCGGATTGCCCGCGTCCGCAGCTTCACCCCTCCATTGACATTGGCGGACAACCCCACCTGACGTCGCTGAACGGAGCTCCCCCAGCAGGTCCCCTAGCAGCAAAGCTTCGCAGCAGGCCAGCAGGAAGGACCGACTTCGCACAAGGGCCCCGGCCCCTACCCTGTCAGCCTGCTTAGCAGGGGCCCCCCGCGGCCGTCAGCATGATGAAGCATTGATCTCCCAGGCACGCCGCGGTACGGCGCCCCGGCCGCAACGCACAACGATAAGCGCGGACCCCACCGCGCCGACGGGAACTTAAGGTTAGATTACATTTCAAACACTTATTTCATTTTCACGATTTATCGCCGAACAAAAGAGTCAATTGGAAGTCCACAATACCGCCGGCGTTATCACTGACAGAGCCGTCGCCATTACGTACACCGTGTTAGCTTGGACAGTTAGCGCAACGAAGCTCCGACTTCCACAACCGTAACGCCGTCAACTAAAACACCAAGCAACAAACAACGACGACGACCATCGCGATCACTCACAACGACGACCTCGGCCACGGCCACCACCCATCTACCCAACTATCACACTGAACCCACACACCAGCCACTTCCCTTACTACACACCACCACCCATAAAAATGGCAACCCACATCCCCCCCACACTCTCCCCCGACGCAATCGACACCCTAACCGAACTGACCGTAATCCTCGCCAAATTCCGCGCCACCCAAGCCTCCGCCCGCCAGGCTGCCGCTTCTGGCTCTGGCTCTGCTTCTGCCGGCGGCGGCGGTGGTCCATCATCCTCCCTCACCGGCACCGGCGCCGGTGGTCCCAACGCCTCCTCCACACCAGCCCCCGGCGCTGTCACCGGTACTACTCCGCTCCCGATCCCTACTTCCCACCCGGGAGGCTCCTCCGCGACAGCAGACGGGTCGGTGTTTAATGCGAAAGACGTGCCTCAGGCGACAGACAATTTGAAGCACAAGTTGCAGAGGGCCAGACAGGCGATTTTGGCGCTGCCGGATATTGGGAGGACGATTGCGCAACAGGAGGTGGAGATCAAGGAGCTGGAGGAGCGGAAGAGGAAGCAGATGGAGATGTTGGCGAGGATACGCGAGGAGGGATTGCAGTTTGCGAGGTTAGAGCAGAGTAGAGCGGATGAGGAGGGAGAGAGGATGGTTGAGTAGTGCTTTGGTTGACTCTAAGGACTTGGTCGATGCTGGAAGTTCTTGGGTCAGACGGCGAGAGGGCCGGTCTGCCTTTTCAAGCCTTGCCATACTTGACGGCTGGGTGAATACGCAATCGATGAGAGGGCATGCATGGCCGTTTTGGAGGAGGCTCAGATGTCTACGTTGAACATCGACATACCCCATTGTTACAAGTATTGTTTACCCAACCGATCACGGGCAACATATTCCTCGACATCCATTACACTACCCACAACATCTACACGATACCCTTCGAACCTGAGCGCAGGAGACCGCCCGAAGACCGCACAAAGTACCGCTACCAAGTACCAAACTTGTTCAGCTTGCCGCCCCACGAAATCTTCCGGATAGTCCTCGGACTTGACGATCGTCTAGACTTCTACGCCTCAGCTCCAATCCCGACTGTCCTCAAGATATCGTCCAGGCCTGCACCAGGATAACCAGGGACCTTATCCTTCCAGATATCCTCCGCAATGCGCTGCTCTTCCGGCAGCACGCTCCAGTTTGGCGAATGCTCCGCCTTCAGCCATTTGAAGTCGTCCACCTGATCCCACATGTTGGTTTTCTCGTCCTTGTCGGCCGACTAGACAGACGGACGGGGATTAGTCACCAAAATCATTGTCAAGCCAAACATAACATTTAGGGGAAGAGAGGAAGAAGGAAACTCACATGAACCTTGGGCGCGGGCGCAAACCTCAACCCCTTACAATCCTCAATAATCGGCCTGCTGGCACAGTACAGATAAAAATCCACGTTCTCGCACTCGTGGATCCGCACCTGCCTCGCCACCACCAGCACCTTGCTGTCACGCAGACCCGTGATGTGGCACGGCCCATCCACGTGGCCCGCAACGATCAAGCTGTCCGAGATGTTCTTGAGCGCTAGACTGGCAAACGGTGCGCCGCCGCCTGCTTGTGTAGGTGTCGACATGTCCACGATACATCCCTTCATGTTCGTGAGCGCGCCCGCCGAAGTCGCCCTGGACGCCGACAGCGGCAGGATGATGTGCAGCTTCTCGTGGTCTGAGAGCGTAATGTCCCGCGCCGACGAGAAGCTCGGCTTACGGACTCTCGATTTTGTAGGATCCTTCGCAATCTCTTCATTGTAGTTCTTGGTGATGGCGGGGAAGGAGGGCAGGTTGCTGAGGCTGTCCCGGTGTTCCTCAGCTGTCGCAGAAGGAGAAGAGGTCTTATCTTGCCCTCCCTGGGGAAGCATATACCGGGCATCGCTCTTCTTCTTGTCGGTCTTGTCGTTTGCGGCCACAGTAGCGTCTCCTCCGGCCCCGGATGCCGCCTGTGGATTGTGGCGCTTCTTGAACTGGAACCGGCTCTTGGGCGCGAACTTGGCTTGGGCCTCGTTGAGCTGGTCTGTCAGCTGCTTGAGCGCTTGCGAGTAGGTGCGCTGGTCGTAGGCGGGGACGTAGTCGGCGGCGTCGGCGACTTCGTTGGAGAGCCGGGAGATGCCGGTTAGGATGTGCTCGATGGCATCATGGCGTTCGCCGGCGACGGCGGAGAGATTGGCGAGGTGGTTGATTTGTTCTTGGATGTCTTCGATTTCCGTTAGTCAGATTCCTTCAAAGAAAACGGTTATGGAAATACTGGGAAGAAAGAAGACTCACTGGCTACGGTCCCCTGGAACTGACGATAGAACGTCTCCTTGGGAGTCTCCTTGTGAGCCGTTCCTTGCGCAGACATTTTAGGCGCCGCTGTGTGGTATCTGTTTGTCTTGTAAGCCGTTCTGCGTTATTCAAGAATCAATATCAGCTCCAGTGTCTTTCCAGATTCTAAATTCGTCAAAAGCGTGAAGTGCCCTCCTTGCCTGGTATTCGTTCCGCAGTATGACCTTCAACGTGAATAACGTAGGCCTATGCCAACGACGGCCAGAATGAGACTCATGAAACTCATACTCCATGTCATGCCATTTCTTCAGTGATGCAAACCGCAAACCGCTGGATGTTGAACACAAGAAAAGTGAACAGCCGCTCGACCCAGGAAAAAGGCGTGTTGATAAGGCAACAAATCGTTCATGCGATACAAGGCGTAAGGTGTAATGGGATATATAAAGTAAAGTAAAACAACGAAAAGCTGTACTCACATCAATGTGTTGGAGGAGGAGGGGGGTTTCCCAAAATGATACCTAACCTAGGTATGTTTGTTTTGTACCTCCCGTCGATGATTTCGTATTTTCCTAGGGCAAGGAAACAGTTCGTGTAAGTAGAGGTACCTAAGGTATGTACCAAGCAGTAATATCTTAAGAGCCAGCAGAAAAAAAGTACTTGAAAGAAAGGGAAAAGAAAATGTCGAGAAAGGGAGACGGGGACCTGGAACTAATAGCAAGCGTGGGTGGGTGAAGACGAGGAGTAAAGGTATGTAGTAAAGAAATCCGAACGGTAGGTTGTACGTAGAGGGAGAATGGGTGATACACTCAGCCTACGGCTAGACTAGGTATGTAGATATGAGTTGGTTCAAAGGAGGTAAATATCAAGGTAGCTATTAAGATGAATGTGATGTGTTAGGTAGAGGTAGGCTCCGTCTTTTGGTATGGTGCCGCACCAAAAAGAAAATCAACAAAAAGATACGAGCTGGAGGCTTCCACGGTGACTTACTGAGGTTTAACGGAAGTCGCAGTACGATGTTGCTGTCGTGATTCTTTTGCGTGGCCGGAAGGAAGGCGCAAGCGAAGTATCTTGTGGAAGGAGCTGTCGTTGAGGTTTTGCGGGGAGAGACAAGCCCCAGGGGCATCAATGGCGAGAAATGGAACTGGGGAAGCTATAGTGGGGCCTGTCAGTTAGGGGCCGGGTTCTGATGCCTTCCTTCCATTACCATGTCAATAACCACAACTATATACATGACTCCATATCTGAGTCCTGATATTTCAGTAACAAGAGAAAGTAGCCTAGACGCGCCTCAAGGTAGATCGTTGTTTCTGGGACGAATAGTAAAAGCACGTCGCTAGTATGGACCTGTCTCTACAGGCCAACCAGGGCGGGAACACAAATGACCGCTGAAAAATAATCTCATTACCGATCCAACAGATATATACAACTCAAAAAGTACAAAAACAACAACCACACGCTGTCACTCGTAGAAATCGCTATCCATAACTGCGTGACCTCCCCCCTCCATAATTGCTCGGAAACCTGTTCCTCCCATTAGCCAAGATGGGCACCTGCACAGGCATCGACTTCCTCTTGGATGCCGGCAACGAGTTGAGAGCATCCCACATCTCCATCACCCCGGCTCTCTTGGCGGGAAGCATGCTATACTGCAGACTATACAGGTTCTTCCTGTTCAGCGGCGGGACGAACTTGCCCATCAGCAGACACATGGCGACGCGGGGCGAGAGGTAGTGCTTTCGAATCCGGTTGCCCATTTGGAAGTATTGGTAGAACATGGACTTGAAATCGAGTGGGATGGGCTAAATGGGTCGGTTAGATTGTGCTTTTAGAGGGGCAGTTTTTTTTATGGAGGGGGATGACATACATGAAGAGCGATCACGGAGGTCGAAGGGTGTTGCCGAAGAGGATTATTATCATTACAGGTGGTGCCAATGTCTTGGGTGTCTCGAAGCTCATATCGGATGCCGCCTATGGAAACAGTCAGTTGTGGTTATTCAGACCGGGAGCCGACAGGAAAGACACGTACCTGGAAGTCTTTTTGGGTCTTTGACCCGTAACATCAATGCAAAAAGGGGAAAGTGGTTGAGACAAGAAAGCGCAGTATCGAAGCAAGCCTTGAACAGGATGATAGCCATGCGCGCAATCGCAAAGTTCAAGTAAAAGACCACCACGGTGGGCAAAAGAAAAAACAGGACCGTGAAGAGGATAGTCCCCACAAGAAGTTGATCGAGCCCATAGTCGCATGAGTCTATACGGTTTCGAAGGACGTTGTGTTTCTTGCCGCGAAAGAGGTGAAAAAGCGACGTGAGGATGTTTAACTGCCAGGAAAATATCCTAGCTGAGGAGAGATAAAACGAGTAAATGTGAATCGTGAGTATCGACAGGAGATCCGAGAACAGGGCAAGAGGCATGCTTGCTCCCGCAAAACTGGAGAAGCCAATAATCAACACAATTCGCGGCAGCATAGGCCGAATTGTCTCGATACAACCTTTGCCGGTCTTAGTATGTATAGCAGAAAGTTGAAGAGGAGCAGATCAATAACTTACTCGCCCAGTATTCAATGACCCACAAGAACAGGTCTCCAAGGAACGCCGCTAGCTCGGTGTTTAGCTTCAAGCCTGCCGGCCAGCCCATAAGCCAGGAAATGCTGCTCTGCAATGCCTCGACGGTATAGGTGGTGAGCAGGCGGCTAATCTCGTTGGCCACCCAGTCGGCATTGTCGATGATGTAAGAACCAAACGCCATACCGATGATAACATCATTAGCAACAAGCCAGAGGCTGTTGTAAAACCGTATGTAGTCTGGGTGACTCGTGGTCACACTCGCCCAGTCGTTCTTCCTCAACCGAAGCGTGACATACTGCATCGGCCAGTAGCAAAACTGTTGAAGACGAATCTCGACCTGCTGAGCCGTGGCAGAAATGTCTTTCAAAGCTGCGTATCTGGGCCGAAGTCGCCACTCCAGTATGCGTAACAACATCTCGGCGACCACCCGGTGAGCCATCAAGCCAAGTACGAACAACTTCTTGATGACGGGCAAGACGTAAATAGTGATCATGTCCCAAAGCCATACCAAGATCATGTCCCTAGCTGTTGTTGCCGACTCGACCACCCTTTCCGACACGCTCAAAGCCCTCTTGGGGCGGGTGCCGATGCGTGAGACATTCTGCTGTAGTAGCTTTTCGAGCTCCCATGCCCAGTTGATCTGGTTGATTATAGTCGGAAGCGCTCGTTCCTTGGGCGATGGGATTCGTTTTACCACCGAATGTTGCTTGAGCTTTTCGACCAGCTTCCGCTTCGCTTCCTTGTTCAAACGCTCCCGCTTCTCGTCATCCTCCTCCCCACTGTCGGCGAAGTCTTGCCTAAATCCATCGTGCTTGTCTCCCAGTGCCAAGGCAATCGGATCTAGTGACATGTACTGCATTCGTCCTGGCAGCGGCCGTTCGAAGAGGATGATCTGAATACTGGATGCTCGAGCACAGGTGACAGAAGGTACCCGCTGCTTAGGCGGTATCGTAACCCGGATCCATGATGAGTCGACCTCGACGGTGTCTGGAGTGTTCGAGACGCCCAAGACGCTTATGGACGATTTGCCGCATTGTTCGTAGATGCGGCTGACTGGGTGAGGGGCGTTCCGGAGGAGGTTACCGAGCTTTAACGCGCTTTCAACACGTCGAGGCTATCACAGAGAGTCAGCTCTTGTATCCATATCTCAAGCCAGTTGTAGAGCCGGAAGGCACAAACCTCAACCTCCTCCAACACTGCCACCACGAGAACATCCAAGGCTGAGTTCCTCCAGCCGACCACGACACCCCTACAATCGGATCGCGGAAGGTCGGTGGGCCAGAACACGCGCATCAAGCCATCATCCTCTGGCATGACAGATAGCTCACTCGCGAGCAGCCAATCAGAAAGAGCCCCTTCTCCTTAATTGTTCCCTCGCGGAGATACCTGATCCTAGCAATCGCGGGTGCTGGACCAGCATTATCAGTATATGGGACTCGTATATCGACGGTTGGTTGGGGGCAGCAGCAGCAGCAGCAAGCTGGTGGTCGTACCAGGTTCGACTCCAAAGTAGCAAGACGTTGCACAGGAATAAAGATGACGAGAAACACAAGGCTTAACACGCCGAAGCCCTTGGCGGCCCGAGACTAAAGAACGAAGTCGAAGAAGGTTAGCGATCCAAGCTGTTGCTGTTTCGGCGCAATGCCCCCATGATATGTGACACTTACCACCACTCCGTAGTTCCAAGCAAATATGGCAAGCTCATATAGGCGAGTGACGAGGTCCCATCGGGCGGTGATATACCCAGCTACGAAGATGCCGAGTGTAAGAACAGAGAAGGGGTGCATAGAGGCGTGCTGCCCCTTACAGTTCTAGCATATGCGTTCGCGGGCAGAAGTCGGGGCCGGCAGTTGTACCTAGATAGTCCGATGTCACTTCTCCTGGTATGGGGAGAGGAAATGTGGGCGGGTACTGGGTGCGTTCAAACGAAGGGTTGGCTGTTGCTGCAAGGTGGGTGTCAAAATTCGGGGGTCCAAGAAGTTGAATGATGTCGTTCGGAGTAAAAGCTGAAGTGAAGCAATGCAATGCCGAAGTGGAAATTTGTTGAACTGGGACGGGAACGAATGATGCGAGGTGTCGTGTCGTTGGACAAGAGACTTGCGCTGGATGGAAGTTTATCGGAGCGGTTTAGGCGGTGTTACAGGGAGTGTGGAGCGTTCTAGCGCCCAAGCGAGAGCGCTTTGGCTGCGACTGCGCTCTGTGACGAACCGATTGGATGTTGGGGAGGACCCACCCCTCAAACCTTATTTGGAGGAAGGGAACATGAACATTGAAGACATGGCCTTGGTCCAGGAAGCCGAGAAGGCACTATACTGGCAGAAGAAACTGGGAGGGTACAGTCAAAGAAGAAGCGGAAAGGTTGGAGCTCTGGATACGAAACGTAGAGATTTGATTGCAAAAGTATGTAAAGGAAGTCCACATTTGCAAGAACGCCAGGCGCCGTATATACGGAGAAGAGACAGGTCAGGAATGTAAGAGAGGAATAGCTTGTTCTGCGTTTGTTAGGGAGATGGTTGTCAAGGGATACTCAGCAGGTCAGTTCTGACAGGTTATCGTTAGTAGACCTTCCATGACCTTGGGTCAAGTCGTAGCCTTAGACTCACATTTCTTCTTGCTCATGTATGTCGAGTCGCTGTCCTTGAGTTCTTCCCGGGCCTCGTCCAGCAGCTTGTCGATGCCACGCTCCCTCAAGGCAACCTATAGAAAGGTAAGCTATGCAAAATTGTAGGTGATGTATGACTTCGTGGCTTACCTGCAGGCAAGAACTGTACTGCTTGAAGAGTTCGGAACATTCGTTATTCTGTTCGGTACCAGTGCCTCTAAGATATTCTGTCCAGCATGAGTATTAAGGTACCACATGTCACCAAGTTGGGTTGTCCGTTTCTGTAGACTTACTCTCACTGTACCATTTGAGAAAGCAAGTATCGTACCGCCTACAACCAGGTAAGCTGCTATTGTCTTTTGTCTATGAGGGTCAAAGACTTACTCCTTGAGTTCGTTGCATTCTTTGGCGAGTGACTGGGACATCTTAAAGTCTCAAGGTTCTTCTAAGTTGTTGATGTTGGCAAGGTTCAAAGAGCTGAGACGGTGTCCGATGACGTTGAGTATAGAGCTATTTTGGGCAAAATGACCGAATCGAAGAGCTGTCGTGTGGTATGTACAGGCAATTGTGCTGTGGAAAGAGGTTTACAGAGTATCAAATATCAAACGTTTGCCGACGAGTCCGCTTGAAACTTATAAGTGCTGGTATCAAACAATGAAATTGCGGACCTTCGTCACAGGGAGGGATCTCAAAAGCCTGGAAGCCGGGGCGATGGATGAACGTTGTCGGTCCAGATCAGCACAAGCTCTTGGCAGGTCCCTCGGCCTTATCTTATCAGTAACTAAAGGTCCTTCTACTTCCGTCCACTCAGTGCCAGCTGCGGGCCAGCAGGTACCAGATACAGAGTAGCTCGCAACCCACTTTGATGGCCTTTCCCCGTTCACCTTGGCAATTTCTCCACAAGCCGCATGCTTGGGCTGTCCGCAAAAAAAGTTCCCTGGCGCAAGAGAACGACGAACCATTCCATTTTGGAGAAGCGAGTTGGGCTTCCACTTTTTGTGACGTCCGCCTCACAAGTCACAACACCCGATTCCAGAACCGACGGCCAAGATGGACGGCTCACTGGATTTCAAGACCCTCAGGGAATCGCTCCAAGCCGCCTTGGTTGCTACGACCCGAACCGCCAACTCGATCGCCAGCGAGGATCTTCAGTTCCAGCGCACCGTCAACCCGACTGTCGGCAGCCAACTCGACAACAGCTCCGGTCGTCTCTTGAACCTTGCCAACGGGCTCCTCAAATCGACCGCGAACCTCACGGGCCAGAAGGTTGGCACCCTCGAAGATGCCGACGATGTGGACATTCAGTGGCGCAACATTGTTGACGTGATCGACTCGCTGCTCGAAAAAGCCGACACCTGCCTCGACGAGTACACCGGCTTGATCAAGCGCAAGGATGTGCCCACACCCGCCGACCAGGGTCGCGCTCAGAAGCGCGTCAAGTCGTCAAACGATCGTCTCGAGTGGTCATTGAAGAGAGCCAACATTCTCAAGCCCCAGAACAACTTCGAGAGGAAGGTCGACAACTTCGCGGCCGGTCCATGGAAGCCCCTCCTGTCGTCCAAGCCTCACGCCAAGGTGTCATTGGAGGACAGCTTGACAACCTTTGTCGATGATGACAACAACACACAGTACGTATAGCTTTCCTTCCTGAAATTATAACAGCATGTCGCTAACATGAATGTTACAGATACAAGCACCCCTACGAGACCGAGATCAAGACGACGCCGTATCCCGAGCATGTGTACAAGAAGCGCGAACCCAAGGAGTTCCTTCCTATCGATTCGACATCCGCCGTGTGGATTGATACTTATGAGGGCGTCTTGGAGATGTTGGAGGAGCTCAAGCAGGCCAAGGAGATTGCGCTTGACTTGGAGCATCACGATTTCAGATCTTACACCGGACTGCTGTCGCTCATGCAGATCAGCACCAGAGAAAAGGATTGGGTAATTGATACTCTTCAGCCATGGAGGCATAAGCTGGAGGTCCTGAACGAGGTCTTCGCGGACCCCAAGATCGTCAAGGTAAGACGCACCCTAATCTTCACGCTTTCACTATGCTTTAAACTAACTTGACCCAAGGTTCTTCACGGTGCTTTCATGGATGCCATCTGGCTGCAGAGAGATCTTGGCCTGTACCTTGTCGGTCTTTTCGACACATATCACGCTTGCGCCGTTCTCGGATACCCTGGAAGGAGCTTGGGATATCTGCTTAGCAAGTTTGCCGAGTTCGAAGCCGACAAGAAGTACCAGCTTGCCGACTGGCGCATCAGACCTCTTCCCGAAGAGATGTTCTACTATGCGCGCTCCGATACCCATTACCTGCTCTACATTTACGACATGCTCGTTAATGAGCTCATCGAGCGCTCGACACCCGGAAAGCCGAAGCCCGATCTTCTCGAGCAGGTTCTCGAGAGGTCTAAGGATGTCGCCCTGCAACGATACGAAAACCCTTCCTACAACGTCGAAACCGGCATGGGACCCCGCGGGTGGTATAATGTGTTGCTGAAGTCCCCAACACTCTACAACAGCGAGCAGTTTGCCGTTTACAAGGCCGTGCACCAATGGCGCGACAACTTGGCTCGTCGTGAGGACGAGAGCCCTTTCTTCTTCATGACACAGCAGGTTCTTGCCGACATTGCCCGGATTCTCCCTACCGACAAGAAGGCTCTATGGAGTATTCTGGATAGCAATGCCAAGGGCCTCAAGTCCCATTTGGATCACCTGTTCGACGTCATTCAGAAGGCTAGGGAGGAGGGTGTGGACGGCCCCAAGATGATGGATATCTTCAAGAGCGACTCGTCTATCATCGCTCCCTCGAAGCGTGCTGCGGTTATCTCCGACGATAGCGACATTCCGGACGTCAAGGAGCTGAAGGCTGACCGGTCCCAGTTCTGGGGCGGCGTCACGCTGAGCTCAGTCTGGGACGGCACGGCCGCGAAGACTGCCAAGCTCGACGGCATGTTAGAGATCACTCTCCCTTATCCTGCTGACTTCATGGACGGAACCGCGACTGAGATGGAGGTGGATCAACCAGAGGAGGAGGCGCCAGCACCCCAGCCGGAGCCGGAGCAGGTGGTAGTCAACCAGGAGTTCACTCTCAGGAGCGGCGGCAAGCGCAAGCGCGAGGAAGAGTCTGAGGAGGAAGAGGAGGCTTCGGATGCCGAAATCGAGGACTCTTCCGCGCCTCATACTGAAACCGATGCGCAAACTGGCGGCGAAGCCGAGGGTGACGATTCCGACGAGGAGGAAGAAGAGGAGGAAGAAGAAGCCAGCGACAAGTCATCCAAGAAGTCCAAGAAGGCCGCTAAGGAGAAGAAGAAGCAGGATAAGGAAGCCCTCCGGGCCCAGCGAAGGGTAGAAAAGGCCGCCAAGAAGGAGGCGAAGAAGAAGGCCCAGGAGGAAGCTGCTGCTGCCGCTAAGCAGGCGGAGGGTGAGGAGGGTGAGAAGAAAGATCAGCCGTTCGATTACTCCCAGGCTGCGTCGGTGTTGCGTGCTCGCAAGACGCAGGAGGACGTCAAGAAGCAGAATAAGAGGTTTAACCCGTATGGAAACAAGGGTCAGGACGGACCGAAGGGCGCGAGAGCGCATTATTCTGCCAAGGCGGCTGGCAGGACGGCTACTTTCAAGAAGTGAGGTGGGATTAGCTGGTGAGGAAGTCGGATTGTTGGGACGTGACACATAGCATAGGGTTTACGGAGTGGTTGTCACTTTGCTGTTTGTTTAGTTGGTATATTACCTAGGCATGCTTAGCACGTTAAAGAGCTCGAAAAGAATAGTCTCGTTAAGGAGGAATTGATACCACGAAATAAGTAACTAATGACCACCAAGCACCGTTGAGCTTGCGTCCTATCCCACAAATATCCTATCCCACAAAGACTTGAGCTACATTGTATCAAACTGTGCAAAAGTCTCGACCGGTGTGAGTGATTATTTATATCTTTTGTTTCTGCATGTCTCACCTCACGCAATCAACTTGTACCCACAGTATGTATGGCCATATGCTGCCCGAGCAAGTTGAGTTGCTGCCCCAACCTGACTCAGAATTTTACCTATCTGATGGTATCACAAGGTCTCACACGAGGGGAGGAGGGATCCGCGGTTGGTGGTCATGAGAGCCAGCCGAGAGACTAACCTAAACTACATGTCAACACTTTTAAAGGTCTCGTGAATGTCGTTTTGTAATCACAGCTTTTGAGGAATGATACTGATGGTAAGTATCCCAGAAACATGAACACATACAGTCGAGACCTTTACATTGAGGAGACCTATACAGTAGAGCGGTCCCTCGAAGCGCACCAACGGCGGTATGTGAGTCCTGCTTTTGTAGGATTCAAGATTCCATGCTACCTGCGAGCTCACGTATTCAATGCTCTATCCGATGCGATGCTGGTGTTGGCGTGCTGCAATTCAAGGAGCTAGGGACGGACGGCATCCTGCGTAGCTGCCCCTGCGGCATGTCGCATGGGCATCGCAGGATTTGGGCTAGGCAGTTGCTGTCTCTTGCTGACCACACTGACCACACCTGGCTGGTCGCCAAGAAAGGCGATCATTGATGATGCTGGTGTCGTGCTTCGTGGGGGGAATGGACTAGGGTTCATGAGATGGGGCTCGTTGAGGATCTGTAGGCGAACATTTAAAAAGAAGCGAGGATGACAAAGACCACCTCCAGGGTCTGGAGGGTCTCCAGGTCGTTAGGGGGGGTCACCCCTGCCTACCCTGCAGTTGGGGACAGGGCGGTATGTACAGCTCGCAGGCGGTAGGGGCAGAGCTGCTTCGGAGCAATTGCAGAGGACCCGACGTCCTCAGATAGGGTGCCACTGTTGAGGTCGGCGCGTGCAAGGGCCTCTCCACTAACATCAGAGATACATACCATCTGACAAGCAACAGAGTTACAACGCTTCAGCTCAGGTAAACTCGCCCACTTTACCTAACAAAGTTCAGCTTGCGACTTTTCCCTCGAACTGAACAATTTCATTGTCACTCTGTTCGCCCCAAGAAACAAAGGCGAAAGATCTCTTTGGCGCGCCACCCGCTTTGGAAAGATCGGCAGCATTGTTCGGATTGAATTCGCCAGTCCATTTGGCTTGCTTCTTGCACCTTCTCGTAATAACTCCTTTGATCATTGCGGCGCAAACCGATACAACTACCTACCGCCCTCCTCGAGCTTTCCTCTCCCGTCCACCAAGCACCAACGAATCGATTTCTCAAAGATCGCCGCTGGGCAGCCTTGTCTTTTCCGACAAACAAGAGCCATTCACCGTTACTCCCAGCCGCTTGCATTGGTTACCCTGCGTTCGACTTAATACGGCAGCCTTCCAGCTCATCGTGCCATTCCATCCGCCGACAGCCCACAGCCTACAGAATCCCACCTTCGCTTTCCCCCTCCAAACACCACAGTGGACCCGACCTTGACGTGTCTGCGTGGCAGAGTCCCCGAGGCCGCCTGTGCCTTCGTCAGAAGCCTCTTACTTGGTAGACTTGGTCATCACAGTAGCCTCTGGCACACTCGACCGATTTGCGCATCGAATCACACCGTTCATCGCCGACGTCATATTTATAGCGTCCCCACCATGGACCACTTTCCGCGACTACGCCCGCATCGGCGCAAAAGAGACATCACCGCCCCCAGTTTGATCACCACACCTACCACCATCTCCAAGTCAGATAGTACCTCTGAGAAGACCGAGTCTCCAGCTTCAGCTGAATTACCTACTCCTACCGCCGCTCCTTTGCCACGTCCTGTCCATAAGCTCAGTCCGTTTCGAGTATTCTCACGTTCTTCCAAGAGAGCCCGCGAGGCCTCTCCCACTTCGCACAAACAGACACCTTCTACCGCCGCCGTTATGGCCCCTAACGGTACCGCAGACCTTTCTGCCTCGCCGGCCGAGAGCAAGATGTCATTAGGGCAACAACTTAAGAATGACGGCCGGCCCAAGATGCCCTCTTTCCTGGAACTAAGCGATTCTGGTAAGCTCCATGGCTCACATCTACTGCTCTTGCCCTCTCTCCAAGACATACACACTAACAGGTCGCTTTCATATTTCATAGAAATCGAGAACAGGTTCCAAGAGATCGTCTGGCTCGAGCGCAAGCGTATCCTAGAAGCGACACAGAATCCCTCTCGAGATTTCAGATGGGCCCGAGTAATGGGACCGCACCTTCGGCTGCTCGACAGATATGGCAACATACAACCCTGGCACAACAACCGAATCAAACTCCAGGTGCCCGAGGGTAAGATCGACTACATCAATGCCTCGCCCATTGTCCTGAACCCGACAGTTCTCACCACGGCCGATGGCGAAGCGAGCAGCACACAAGAGCCGGATCGCTACATTGCCATGCAGGGCCCCAAACGGTGTACTACCGACCATGTATGGCGCATGGCGGTTGAGCAGCTCGAGAGCCCGGGCGTGATCGTTATGTTGACCGAGACTCACGAGGGCGAATATGAGAAGTGCTACCAGTACTTCCCCCGAACACCAGAGGATCCTCCACTGGAAATCAACGAGCGGGACGAGTTCGGCGATGGCTTCCGTGCCACAATTCGGTGCGCGGAGATCGAGGATACCCCGGCCGGTGATGCGATCGAGCTTCGCAAGATGGTGATCCATGTTCACAAGCCGAAGTCGAGGAAGAGCATGGACAGCAAGAGCAACGGGTCTCAGAGCAAAAGGCAAACTCCCGAGCCGGAAACCGAAACCACTGAGGAGCCTAACATCACGTCACCTCTCACCCAAATGGCAAAAGAGACGGAAGTAAACCTTACGATCAGTGAACCAGGAGAGACAGTAGGCCGGAACTCTGGAGAGGAGGAAGTCGAAGAGCGCATCGTGTGGCACTTCCTCTACAAGAAGTGGCCCGACTTTGGCGTCCCGGACCTGTCCGATCTCGACAGCTTCTTTACACTCATGGCGCTATCCCGCGAAAAGAATGCCGGCCCGCAAAACCCTCGTATCGTCCACTGCAGCGCAGGCGTCGGCCGCAGCGGTACCTTCATAGCGCTGGAGCACCTCATGCGGGAGCTAGACGTCGGAGTGTTGGAGAACTGGGACGAGCGGTGCGCCGCTGCCGCTGGCGGCGAGTCCTCCTCGTCTACGCCTTCTGCAAGAACGTCGCAGGAGGAAATCATGTCACCCACGAGCAGCACAAAGGGCGCAGAGGACAACGACTTGATTTTCCAGGTGGTCAACCAGCTCCGAGAGCAGCGCAAGACAATGGTGCAGGCCGAGAGCCAGTACGAGTTTATTTACCAGGTCATGCGCAAGCTGTGGCTGGATAAGTATGGAGGCGACGATGGTGGTGGTGGCTCGAGGTCCTCGGGAGAGAGGGCGTCTAAGAGGCTGGAGGTTGATCCTGGTGATCCCTTCTATGTGAACGGCTACTCGAACTCGAAGAAGTAGGGCGGTTCGTTGAGTTTTCCCGGTGAGCATTCAAGGAGTATGTCCTCCTCGTCTCCAGGCTTTCGGGGTTGGGGTTATGATCGGTTGGGTTAGATGGCTGTCTCTTGTGGGGATGAAGAAGGCATCACAATTTGTCAAAAGGCGGTTAAGCAAGCAGCCACTAATTAGGTGTCTGGTCGGGAAGGCATGATACAAGTAGACCGCGAGACGGTACGAAAAGAGGTTTTACATGAAGGGAAACGGGCAGCATGGATGGGTAAGGGGCAAAGATACCAGTAAACTAATCATCTCCTTGTGGACACAAAGAATCCGTCTTAGATACCCCCCGTTGCATTTTCATAATATTATTGCATTGCATTACATTGCTGTTCAAGTCACTTTGGCAGGCACTATCGGAATCTCGCAATTTCCGGTGTACTAGCTAGCTTGTTGGTACAAAATCATCCAGCCCAGCTTACGCGTCACTCTTCAGCTAAGTGCTACAGGTTTCTCAAGAGGAAGAAAGGTGATGTTCCCGTAGGACGAGTAAGACCAATGTGTACAGTGAAGAACATTGTGGACACTAACCCACCAAGCCCAGTCACCGGAGGTGATACTAGTGGAAAATCAAAATGGATACAAAAACAAACCCCCCAGAAGGTGTGTGTGGCAGGCCCGTACCGGAGTCAAGCCTGGAACTTCTATACTGGACAGGGCAACCGGAAAGGGAAGCCGATGGTGAACGGACGGGAGGAAGAATACGAAACCATGAGGAGAAGGAGGTGCAGGATGGGGGAAGATGCGAAAAGAAGGGTAAGGTAAGTGATCAAGGACCACGTCACGGCACCATGCTCTACATTATGGACGTTCCGTTAGTAACCCTCCTACCCTCCTACATACTATGCGGTTATATGCAGAACCGAATGGAAAGTGTATGATGCCTTACCTGGCTGCTTATTTGAACGGTGCATCACATCACATCAGCGCACGGCACCAAGATGTAAGTCATCCTGGTAGGTTGGGTAGTGGTAGTGGTCATGTTCCGGATCGGATCAGTCATTTCCCGCTTCGTCGTCGTTGTAGGTAGTGGTGATGGTGGTGGGCGTCGTCATCATACCTTGCTGGTAATCATCAGAGACGACTAAATAAATGATAAAACAGCGGGACAGCAATTGATACCACACACACATAAACACACACACCCCGGATCCGAGATCCGAGAAAAAGTGATATCGGGTCGGGAGGGTTCTTCTACGTATGAGTGCCCGTGTGACAACCAATATACCTGTACCAACTAACAAAGGCAACGGATCAATGGATAGCCATAGCCGTACGACGGTACGAGTACCACCCGCCCCAGGACGAGACGCGCAGGCTTCCCAACTTTAGGACTTTCAGTTAGGTCATTACTGGAAATATTGGAGACTTGGAAATTGGAGATTGAAGATTGGAGATAGGAGAGAAACCGGGTATATGTGTGTAGGTTCGTAACTTGGTTTTATGGCTTTCTAGGACAGTTCTTCCCGTCTATACCGACCGTCCAAGGTGGAAAGGTCGGATGGATAACTTGAGTACCTTATAAAAAAAGAGAGAGAGGGTGTGTGTGTGTTATATCTTCTATGTTTTGTGTGTGTCTGCGTCCTTCTACCACCTTTCCAACTTTCCAGCTTCCAGCCTAAACATAAAAAACCGCGGACATCGGACCGAACGTAGCCCGTCGGGTGTGGCTAAAGTCTCCTCCAAAGCTGTTAGATCGTTGACCGACGTTGTGCCCTCACAAAGGCTGTAGGTCCGGGTCGGTCAGGTCGGGTCGGTCAGGTGTGCCAGGCCAGTCAGTCAGTGTCTAGTGTTTAGAGAGTAAGGTAGCTCTAGGTAGGACCAAACGTTGAGCAGCTCCGTGTAGATTTAGAGGTGCCATACCATACTCGGGCACGGCTGAGATACGAGAGAATATAGAAGTAAGTACATATAAGAAGGCATGAGAACGCTGGACAAAACGAGACACACGAGAGTGTCTCGGAAGAGGACCGTTTGAAAGCCGACCTAATTTCGTTGATTCGCATTTTTCGACTGTCTTGTCTTGTCTTGTCTTGTCTGACAGTGACAAATGACAGGCTTTTGACAGCCTCAGACTCAGGGCAATATCCGAAATCATGCACTCGTTTGATAAAGTCGAAATGAATTTGAGTTTTGAGTTTGAAGTGCTGTTAAGCTGAAGAAGTCGAGTGGAAGAAGTCATGGTTGTTCGTGGATGGATAGCTTCTTATCTCGAAAAATGCCAAGACCCTTTTTACCGTGGTAGTTTCAGGGGTCAAAATATCAAAGTATCAAAGTATCAAAAGGGTCTAGAACTTGTGGGGTCTTTCCTTAAAGAAAAAGAAGGATCCAAAACACCACCTCACTTTCATCTGTCAGAAACACCTTCCCAGTCTCGTTAATGTCAAAGATGGTTGAAAATTCGGGTTCCATGTGCGTTTGACAAGGGCCACGGCTCCTTTTCTTTTCCCTTCAAGGATCCTTCGGATTCGCATGAGGTGACCCTAATCCTCTTCTGAGAAAGTTAGAACATCCCCAACCCTGTTCAGCCGCGTGTCAGCCATGTGGTGATATTGCTGAAAACGGGCAACGGACAACGGGACAACGGGAGTCTGGACGATACACTCACGGTCATTTGCTGAATGACGGGGTGTAGTGTGAATCCCGTCCGTCCGTTGGTTTGAAGGAGCCGACACTGGGCGCGAGTGGCAGTCTGTGTTTGTTGTTGTTGTTGCCCAGTTTGGCGAGATGAAAAGAGATGGACGAGCTGGTGTGCTGGATGGGGCATGTGTACCCGTGGGGGGTTTTGAGGGATCAGCCTGGTTGGTATAAGTGATGCCGAGTGCCGATTCGGTTACCACTTCTTTTCGTTGATGGTCATACATACTGAAGGATGAACTACCTTACATACACTAGTATGGGGGTGGTATGGGACGATATGGCCATCCTAGTACTTTCGGGTAAGGGTTTTAGTGAGAAAGATGGAAGGTTCGGCTGCGAGGAAATACCGTTGAACTCCAGCTGTCCATGTCCTCCGTTGCGAGATGGGAAGCTCGTGTTTGTACGGAAGCCGTCGTACCGTGGCGCCTTCTCAGACAAGACCGGACAAGTCTCATCATGGAACACTTCCAATTACCGAACCCCGAAAAACAATCAACGGTTATGCCAGTGTCGTTCAGTTGGCTCTTTGCGCTAAGAGGACAACGGCCTGAGAAAAAAAGGATAAAGATTAAGCCAGAAAAATGCCTCGGGCCGCAGAGGGTGTTTGGCACTAGTCAAGATGTCCGGGGCAGAGTTGGAGCATGCGAGCCTGTTGAACAAGGGCCTCCGGAAATGAGCGATAGACGCTGGTCGGCGCTGATGGGCATGGCTGGCGTTGTTGATGTTTTGACAGCAACTCTTTACACTTCATCCAAGGGTTTTGGACCACGCATTGCTGATAAAGACAAGTGGCCTTGGTGTTTTGCTGGGAGCGGTCATGAAAAAAAAAGGGTAAAGCAGTTGATATATGACGGTTGCTATTTTGGTGCTTGAACAATGCATGATTGATTGAGTCCGGGGTTGAAAAATGCAAAGGCCTGAAAGGTTACTTGTAGTGTACATAGAATAGAAAAGCAACCTCAGGGCGGTGAAGGAGAAAAAGACCCGGATGAGTGGTTGGACGGTAAGAACGGTTCACTTTGGATGCCACCTTTTTGGAAACGACGATGGATGGCAGAGTAACCACCGGGAGGAAAGCTAGATTGCGGTGGTGATAGTTTGGTGGGTAACACGTCGCAAGACTCGCCTGTTGCGGAGTATCTTGAGGTATCGTTCGTAAACATGGATACTTTTTTGACCGGCGCCAGCATGTGAAATTGTACATGTCCAATTGTGGTTGGAGAATGTTGAGGCCTAAGTGTATGCATCTGGTGATATTTAGTGTAGTGGGTACATATGCTAATTGTATCTTGAATATTGTGTAGAAACAGATATCCCCAAGGAGCATTTCGCTTGCCATTGTTTCAAAAGTCGAACCGAGAGCAACCTGGAGCCATGCATCTGTTCATCAGGGACCGCAACCCATTCAGTGTGGTGTAGTCACTCTCACCTCAAGGGCTAGAAGCAGTTCTTATGGACGGCCAAGTATCTCCAAGATTTTCTTGAACAACACAAAGTTGCAATGAAAAGTGAACATGCATTGAGAAGGACAGAGGAACTGCCCCACCTCGCCCACCATTGCATCGGAGCGGGTCTTTGTTGTGTGGAACCCCAAATGCGTGATCCTGACCAATGCCACTGGCAGCATTGGCTGGCTAGGGGGTGTCTACCTGCGACGGCACACGAACAGCAGCCATCCCAGCAGACAAGTCCCCAGTGGCCCAAGCTAGAACTTAGTTTCACATCGGTCTTCTTACAAAACAACGATTCAAATGGGGCAACCTCCCGCCGACCCATGCACCGAGTGTCGTTGCATGTCGGGCCCCTTGTCGGATGGCCCGGGACTCCGAATCTGGCAAAGGGCTGTCAGTCACTGTAGAGGTAATATCCACTCCCGGCCTTCTGGAAGCTTTCTCTTCAAAGACCTGGCCCTGCATCCAACCAAGAGCTTGTTGAACGTTCGAGGCTCCCGCTCACTGCCTCTTCACTGCTACTCAAGCACTCTCACTGCCGCTCAAACCTCAATTCAAAACGATCTTCTCGGCCGTCATTTTATATGGGACCCGAACTATTTACTACTAAACAGGGCAGGAGATAGTATCGATCCCGTCTCCATCCATCTGATCCAGTGCCTCTGTTCCGATCCCCGGATCCAACAGACTCTGCACATCTCTCTCACCCACTCATCCCCTTTCTTCAACTCATTCATATACATACATCTACCTACCTATCTCCAGTTCATCCCATCCTCTCACCTAAAAAGCTTACTCGGCAACTACCCTGCCTTGGTAATCCCGTATCCCATATCCCGTCCCGTCCCGCCTGTCCTCGAGGTAGTCGGCAAC